GAAGGAGGAGCAGGGAGAGGGAGTATTTTTCTAAACAGAATAAAGGGTATATAACAAATTCACTGATGCAGATCTTAGGTAGGGAGCAAAACCAGATTTCAGTTAATTAAAAAAAAAAAACCTAATAATGTTATTGCAACGGAACCTGTGGGGGAGGGGGTGGGGGGGCTGACTGGCAGACAAAGAAACGGACAGAGAGAGAGACAGAGTCACAGTGATACAGACAGGACCGAGAGAATAAACACAGAAGAGTATGACAGACAGATATCAATACTGGGAAGATACAGAGTCAAAGAAGTACTTAGGGCACTGAAAGATGAGATCAATCTGTATATCAGAGCTGGCATTTGCAGATGATGTGGCGATGATAGCTAAATCAAAGGCACACCTTCAGTCCAACTTACTTGTCTGGAAGGAAGAGCTTGAGAAGAGAGGGATGACCATCAGTATCTCCAAAACTAAAACCATGGTGATCTCAAGAGAGGAGAAGAAACACCAGATCATGATGGGACAATATGCATTGGAGCAAGTTAACCAGTTTAAATACCTTGGAGTTTTAACAGACCGAAACGGAAGTATTAAAACCAAGCCAGCTATGTAAAAAGCATCTGCTGGAAGACTTTTCCAGGCCTTTAAAAAAGGTTTCTTAGCAAAACATAAATCGACGAAAATGGCTGTCTACGATTCTACAGTCGTGACCTATGGATTGAGTCATGGGCAATGACAACAGCTCACAGAAGCCAGCTTCAGGCCTCAGAAATTAGATATCTGAGAAAGGTGGTCCAAGTAACAAGAAGGGACAAAGTCCGCAATCAGACAATACATCTAGATCTTGAAACCCAGGCCTTACATCCCAAGATGGATCAATCACTTGATGGTTTGGACATGTATACAGAATGGGAGAAAATTTGCCCCAAAGGCAGGCATAGCAGGATAAAAACCAAGGAACCAGGCTTCCAGGGCGACCCAAGGTCCGCTGGGAAGACAACATCCAACAGTCCCTGACCGACAGAGGAATGGAATGGAACAAAGTCAGAAAAAAAACTGCTGATAGAGAAGTCTGGCGATCTCTCTGGCAAACCTTAACACCCCAAGGTAGAAGAGGAGCGACTAAGTAAGTAAAGTAAAGATATAGTAAGCAGTTCTTCTTCTTTGCCAAATGGCATAACATCCAGTGCAATGAAGTCAATATTGTTAACTATAACTCTAACACTGAGATTTACCATTCACTATCTAACCATTCACTATAGATTTACAGATAAGCAAGAAAAATAGACACGGAGAGGGGAGCTAGAGAGTGACATTAAAAAGGTGGGGAGGATGTGCAGTGAGCTGCATGCAACAGCGAAGGACAGAATGACTTGGCCCGAGTTTTTCGAGGGCCTTTACTCTACTAGGGCACAGAAGACAAAAGAAGAAGGAAGATAAATAGATTACCAGGTTAATTAGGGAAATGGCGAAAAATCTGCAGACCTACTACAGCAGTGTTTCCTAAACTTGTGTGTGCCATCCCTACCTAAGCCTTGCTAAAATTCGTATGCTCCCTCTTTACATATACATAAAACTAAATTCTGCACGAGTCCATTTTCAAATTGCTCCACCTTTACAATCAAACTGGCTCCCTCTACACCCCCAACAATCAAACTGCCCCCTTTACACCCCCAACAATCACACTGCCCCCTTTACACCCCCAACAATCACACTGCCCTCTTTACACCCCCAACAATCACACTGCCCTCCTTTACACCCCCAACAATCACACTGCCCCCTTTACACCCCCAACAATCACACTGCCCCCTTTACACCCCCAACAATCACACTGCCCCCTTTACACCCCCAACAATCACACTGCCCTCCTTTACACCCCCAACAATCACACTGCCCCCTTTACACCCCCAACAATCACACTGCCCTCCTTTACACCCCCAACAATCACACTGCCCCCTTTACACCCCCAACAATCACACTGCCCTCCTTAACAATCAAACTGCCCCCTTTATACCCCCAACAATCACACTGCCCCCTTTACACCCCCAACAATCAAACTGCCCCCTTTATACCCCCAACAATCATACTGCCCCCTTTACACCCCCAACAATCACACTGCCCTCTTTAACAATCAAACTGCCCCCTTTATACCCCCAACAATCACACTGCCCCCTTTACACCCCCAAAAATCAAACTGCCCCCTTTACACCCCCAACAATCACACTGCCCTCCTTTACACCCCCAACAATCACACTGCCCTCCTTTACACCCCCAACAATCACACTGCCCTCCTTTACACCCCCAACAATCACACTGCCCTCCTTTACACCCCCAACAATCACACTGCCCTCCTTTACACCCCCAACAATCACACTGCCCCCTTTACACCCCCAACAATCACACTGCCCCCTTTACACCCCCAACAATCACACTGCCCTCCTTAACAATCAAACTGCCCTCTTTACACCCCCAACAATCACACTGCCCCCTTTACACCTCCAACAATCACACTGCCCCCTTTACACCTCCAACAATCACACTGCCCTCCTTAACAATCAAACTGCCCTCTTTACACCCCCAACAATCACACTGCCTCCTTTACACCCCCAACAATCACACTGCCCTCCTTAACAATCAAACTGCCCTCTTTACACCCCCAACAATCACACTGCCCCCTTTACACCCCCAACAATCACACTGCCCCCTTTACACCCCCAACAATCACACTGCCCTCCTTAACAATCAAACTGCCCCCTTTACACCCCCAACAATCACACTGCCCTCCTTAACAATCACACTGCCCTCCTTAACAATCACACTGCCCTCCTTAACAATCACACTGCCCTCCTTAACAATCACACTGCCCCCTTTACACCCCCAACAATAACTCTGCCCTCCTTAACAATCAAACTGCCCCCTTGACACCCCCAACAACCACATTGCCCTCCTTAACAATCACACCGGCATAGACACGGACCCCACGTTGGGAAACACTGAATTACAGTCACCCTTGGATGTGATGTTGGCAACCTGATGTGTTAATGGTAAAAACACAGCACTAACAAAACAACAGTGCACATGTACCTTAGGATATTATTATCACTGAGTGACTAATTAAAGAAGTGCCAGATACTGGACTACAGTACAGTCCTACATTTTTAAGTGTGTATTTTATTTTATAAGCACACAAACAAGTGATACCACCCTGATTATAATCATCATCATATAGCAGGTCCTTTGCAGAACGTCGCTTTCATCACAGTCTGCCTGAAAGAAACTCGGTCTCTCGCCAGTTCTCCCGCCTCATGCATTTTCACATTCAAGGAGTCACCTATATCCTGTGCCCATCTTCGTGTCGGTCGGCCCCATGCCCCTCCTTCCTGGTACCACGCCCTCTGCTATTATTTTTTCCAATCCGTCGTGGCGCTTGATATGACCAAAATATTTCAGCTTTCGAGAAAGGATGCAATCACTGTGCTGAATTATGCTAATAATGTTTAATAACAAGCACAAATTTACCGCCTGGCATATCTCGCTAGATATTGTCAGAGGCACACTACAGAGCAACAACACACTACAGAGCAACAACACACTACAGAGCAACAACGTATAAATGAGCACACAAATAAATCTTTTAAAATGAAGCATTGAAACAACAGTACACTGTTACATTCGACATATCACCAAGGAACTCTTAGATTACCACTGTAATACTTTGTTATTGATAACAAACATTCTAATATTTATCATAACATGTCTTTTCTGCTGCCTTTAACTGAGCACAATCTATCCATCGTGTCAAGGCTCTCGCTTCCAAGCCAAAACGGCACCACAACAGACCAATTCTCACACTTACCTACCACCCTCACAGCATCTGTGCTAAAGATGTTCTCCTCAAGCATCTCTCTATTCTCAGTGCTGACACTACTACCAGAATGTACCCAGTTACATACAGGCATGCTCATAACCTCAAGGACATTCAGTCATTCTAGTTAAGAGTCAGTTACGTCCTGCCTCTGCGTCCCACTTCGTGGCAGCCTCTTGCCACAGACCTATGCAGGACCAGTCAATATGTGGTTCAGGGTACCAGCCTGGAATTCCTGAATGCTACCTTCCTCATACGTGAAGCATTCTATTGCATGAGCCATAATGTCATTTACACCATCAACTGCCAGAGATGTGGTGTAAAATACATCGGTGAAACAGGTTTACGACCTGCTGACAGGTTCAGACAACATCTTTTGGATGTGCAGAGCGGTGCCTTGAAACAAGTACTATTGCATTTCCATTCCCAGGGCCACCAATGTGTCCATGACATGGAGGTGACAGCTATTAAATCTAGCTACTTCAGTGACAGAGTTCGCAAGTCTCTAGAAAATCACTTCATATACACTTTGGGAACTCTGGCGCCCTGTGGACTAAACTGCCAACACAGCTTCATCTAGAATCCTAGGGAACTGAACTGCCTACACAATCTTATCTTATTCCCGAGTTCCGGTCCTTGGATATTTATTTTCCTGTTCCGTGTCCTGCCAGTCTACTGGCTAGACATCGACCTGACTGCTTCGAGATACGAAGATAAGTGATACTGTAAAAAAAAAAAAAAAAAACAGAACATATTAAGAAGAACTGAGAAACAGACAGTGAGAGAGAAAAACAGGACAAATAGAGAAAATATCAAGAGAACCAGAGAGAGAGAGAGAGAGAAAGAGAGAGAGAGAGAGAGAGAGTGAGTGAGAGAGAGAAAGAGAGAGAGAGTAGAGGAGGCGAGTGACTGGGAGTAAATCTCATCTATGCCGCTTTTAAGATCTAGATAAGAGACTTAGAAAAGAGACATTAAAACCAACTTCTCACAGAAATAATCAGCAGAGATACCTTGCTGCAGCTGATGCATTAAGGAGTGAGCTTGAAAGGGGATGCCTAGTGTGCAGTGATGTCGACCGTGATAATATAACACAAGACAGCCCACACCACACAATAAACTCACACGACAACAACTCGTTTCTACTCACCATGTAAATAGCTTCTGGATATACTGCCTCTGTTACGACTCCTCTGTTCAGTGTCATGTACTCCACCATCTCGTTCAGGGCAGCCCTCTTGACTTCCTTCCATTTTAAGTCGCTAAGAGGATCTTGCACAAAATCAAACAATACGCAGCACTGTCGTATCTTCTGAATAAACAGCTCCTCTCTTTCTGCAGGAGCTGCATCTGTGGGTCAAATATGGAAGCAATACTGACTTTATATCTCTGTCCTGTACTATTTTTTTTTTTTTAATGATGTGCCATTTCCACAATGAACGTTGGTCACTGCACCCATCTTTCTCTCTGAAAATATTACACAGTAAAGACACAAACTCTTCAATGGTATGACTCTCATTCTACTGCCTGAAAACAGTTTCTATGTCATATTCCTTTTACTGGTTTAGTTAGTTAAGGAAGCCCTTCAATGCATATTCAGATAACAGAGGTTCTAATGGAGCAATGATGTGCAATACGAGACAATGTTCTTAGCATCTCTTGCTGAAGCCTACCTTACCTTCATGTGGTGGAACCTGTTCTCCCCAGTAATCTAGTGGAGGGTTAGGGTTCTATCTCCCAGCTGGAAACAGATGTGAAAACAAACGAGGTAAAGGTGAAATCCAGTTTCGTCAGCCAGCTACTGAGCTGAGTGCCTGATGTTATTTCTCAACTCATACCTCACAATATAACTAGCATGAAGGCAGGCATCAGCAAAAGCTAAATGCCTCTAAAAATGAGAAGTATCCCTCCAAGCTAGTGGTGGGCATTATAAAATACCAGATGCCTCAATATTACTAACATCCAGTCAAGCTAATGGTGAAGACAGGAAAATGACAGATGTCTGAAGTATTTATACAAGCTAGTGGCAGACACACAATTCTCAGCAAGCAGTGCAATAAGTAGCATGTCAACCTCATGGCACACAATTCCAGATGCATCACTCTTTTAAAACCATATCTCAAAGGGAAAGCTAACCCAGTCAACAAATGCCTGAAGAAGTCAGATATGTCGGCTCAAAGCTCAAATATCCAAAAAAAACAGAAGAAAAAACAGACAAACTTCTTCTGCGTTTGCCCTTAACAGGGTAGTTGGCACAGTATGTTGTGGTTTACAGCCAGGCTATGCTATCTGTGTATTTCAGCTCACATCTAATATCAGTGAATCCCTAGTTAGTTGCCACTTACAACAACAGTGTTAAAAGACACTGGGTCTATTACTGTTTCCCCTCAAGAACCCACAAGGGCAAAATGGAACAAACAAAAAAGATGTCCTCTTAAAAATTATTAAATATTTTTTATTTCAAAAGTATTGGGCAATCAGGAATATATGCATACCTTTGAGTAACGGAAGTTTCTGCAGCTCCCTGTTTTTTGATATATTGAAACGTGAAGAGTTCTGTCTCTTGTCTCTCTTTATATGAGGTGGTCCCGAATATTTGATTTTCGATAAAGCGGTCGGAGGTGGATGGTTTTCTGTTGCATTCTGTGCAGCCTTCTTTTTGGCCTATAATGATAAAATAATTGACAAGTAAGTACACTTATGTTATCAGACAGGACGTTGCCTGTTTACCATCAACATCATTCAGCTGTGCTGTTACACATCACACAGAACTTACAGTCAAGTCTTCTACTTCGCTCTGTCCTGTCCAACCCTCTTGCTATCATGGGCGGATGGAACCCAGGCCACCACCCTAGGCCTCTCTCAATGTTTGTCTTATAGCAGTGCCCTCACACAACTCCCTCCAGGTAGATGGCAAGACCCCCCTTTCTCCCATAAAAAAAAAACACACACACACACACACACACACACAAAATGTGATTAAAAAGGTGACAGAAAGAAAACTCCCAAGCTTATTAAGAACTCGGAGTAAACATCCACATAAACCAGTGTCAAATAACGAAAGAGACAATCAAAATGTGTTTTTAATCTATAATCAATTAAATGAACATGTTATCATATTAAATAAATTAACAGTGGGTGCACAAGATGCTCATGAAAACAACAAAAATCCTTGACTTTTTGTTTTATAATTTGCCATCAGAGGCAGCTCATTCTCTTATCCTTTTCTTGTTTTCCTATCCCCCCCCCCCCCCCCAATCCCCCCCACCTAGATCCTGTGGGTTTCCAGTGCAAGGTCATTTTATTTAGATTAGGTATTTTGGCCAAAACATGTCATGGCGACCTAGAGAGAAAAGTGAATGGAGAGAACAGTGAATAGAGGGTACAGTTTTGGGAAATAAGGCAGGGGCAGACCTATGCAAAGGTGGATAAAAGACACTGAGCATGCACTAGCAATGAAAGCACATAGGGTTGTAAATGTGGGTAGAGAACGACAGACTTAGGTTTGCCATGATGAGAGCAACGTTGTGTAAAGTACCTGCTCGCTGATGATGATGATGTTTCAATACTACTGTATTTCCTTCATGCTCTTTACAGAACCTATATCTTTGTTTCCCATTCTTGTACAATGACAAATCAATAAACTGAGTTAGCAGGACAAACATGGAACATAATTAATTCTATTTATGTACCTCACAACCCCCTGGCTGATAACCCACAGTGATGCACAGATAAACTAGGACAATAAATCTAGTGATAAGAACAGATAGAGACAGTTTACTGCTAACTGATGTTAGTGTTGGCCAATACACACAAACACACACACACAAGCTTAGAAAACAAACAAAAGGGAGCAATTCCCATTTTCTGTGCATGTAATAAAAAGGGGAAAACATAAATATGTCATCATAACATAAAAGTCAGAAGAGAAGATGAGTAGGCGGAGAAAGAGAGGATGTTGGATATTCTAGCACCACAGTATGTACGAACATCTAACAGAAAAAATGACTGGCAGTACACACAAAAATGTAGCTGTGGTTAGACATGATTAACAATGTCACAGCATGACAACAAAACAAAAAGTCACCTTGTCCTGATACATATCCAATTTATTCTCTTGAATTAAGCATGAACAGTGCCCCACTGGTGATAGTTTCTGACAGTACAGTAGTTTTATTAGAATCACTAATGTAGATCTTTGAGAGAGAACTAAACAAACGCCACTGAGTCAAGGTCTGAGATTAAAAGATGCAGTTGAATAGGACACAACCCAAGACAAACGGATAAAAATGTAACTAAAATGACCTTGCATCGAAACCCAGTGTCTAAGGGGGGAAAAATGGATAGGAAAACAATAAAAGGGTAAGAGAATAAGCCGCATCAGATGGCAAAATAGGAAGATTTGACACAAGTTAGTTGAGCGTCTTAACTCCACTGGGGTATAAAGGGCATAATGAAAGAGAAGAAGACACTGCCTGCCCTTTGTATACTATCTCTTTTGCCTTTTATCTTCCAACAGAGCACAGATCCTTGCATGTACTACAGCAGCGCTATTCAAATGGTGGCCCACAGAGGTCTAGCAAATGGCCAATATTAGCCAGCTGTATTGTATTAATGATCTTTCTATACTGAGGGTAGGGCCTTTAATCTGTGGTGATCCCCATTCTCAAAATGTTAAGTTTTAGTTTTATACAACGGATCAACATCATGGCACAAAGGTAGTAGCTCTTAAGTGCTCCCTTTTACTATCTCAAGCCTGAGTCGGAAGAATCTCAGTGCAGTGCACGAACTCCCCAACACCAGCAAGGATCCTGAAATATTTTGGATAGATGATCTAACTCTAAATTTTGCCCGGCAGCACCGTTAGGCTACTCTTTTCAATTTCTTGTTACGTGCGCAACATACACACGGGCATCTGATCTTACTACCCAGAGACCAGGAAAACTAATATAAGTCCATGCCAAAGAAATCCCAGCCTTCACAGGAGCCTGATCCCGGGACCTCCAGCACTTGAGGCGGACGGCATGCCTCTAGACCACTTAGCCACCTCCATTTTCTAAATGATGGCCCCTAAGTAAAATTAGCCAATTATGACTGTACTACAGAGTAGGTACACTACAAGAAATGTTTTTTTTTTAAGTCCACAGAAGCACTTATGGATTTATCCGAGTGTGCAAGGAAGATGATACAAACCAAACTACTGAGGCCCCTAAAGCAGCATTAGATCACTAGAAGATCAACTGAGAAGATTAATTACTCATGCGTATGACAAGGGTAAACATACAACGTCCCATATCCCCATGTCATCAGTACGTGCATTCTGTTATCTTGAATCCAGCTGGGGCCAGTGTCAATGAAATATGAGCTGACTGGTGTTTTCATATGGCTTAAATTTCTGACATCCTCATAATAATACTGTTGTAGTTTTTGTGAGTGACCTCTGCAGGTGTCAAACAATAAGAACGCTTCATTAGTGTGCCAGTCAGCACGACCGACAAGCAATCTTGGTTCTGGTAAAGAATCACTTTTACTGAACACAGATATCTCTATAAGTGTTTCTAGTCTCTCCTGATTAATGACAGAAGGAGATTCTCCTTTTTCTTCTGCATTCAACCATAACCCTTTCACACCATGAATGCTAAAAAAAAAAAAAAAGGGTCATGAATCTATAAAAGCTCTATGGAAACAGTTTTGAAACCACCCATTTTAAATAGGTCACTAATAAAATTTTCACAAAATGTATCTATATTTGTATTTTTCCCCCCAAAAATATAAAAGAGATACATAAAAGAAGTCAATAAACCTGAACAGAGTGAAGTATCAAATGGAATACATTCCATGCCCCCCCCCCCCCCCCCCAATATACACTGGATGACTCATATTATGCCCTCTATCACTGAGACTTAAGGAAAATTTTGAACACTAATTAAAAAAAAAAAGCCATTAGGATCATATTCCTCATACACTTAGCTATAAACAGCTTGGTACTCCTCACATTCTTAACTAAACAGCTTGGTATTCCTCACACTCTTAAATGACAATGAACAGCTTGGTATTCCTCACACTCTTAACTGACTATGAACAGCTTGGTATTCCTCACACTCTTAACTGACTATGAACAGCTTGGTATTCCTCACACTCTTAACTGACTGAACAGCTTGGTATTCCTCACACTCTTAACTGACTATGAACAGCTTGGTATTCCTCACACTCTTAACTGACTGAACAGCTTGGTATTCCTCACACTCTTAACTGACTATAAACAGCTTGGCATCTCTCACTTTTAACTGACCATAACAGCTTGGTAATCGTCACACTCTTAACTAAACAGCTTGGTATTCCTTACACTCCTAATTGACTATGAACAGCTTGGTATTCCTTACACTCCTAATTGACTATGAACAGCTTGGTATTCCTCACACTCTTAAATGACTATGAATAGCTTGGTATTCCTCATACTCTTAAATGACTATAAATAGCTTGGTATTCCTCACACTCTTAAATGACTATGAATAGCTTGGTATTCCTCACACTCTTAAATGACTATGAATAGCTTGGTATTCCTCACACTCTTAAATGACTATGAAAGCTTGGTATTCCTCACACTCTGACTAAAGCTTGGTATTCCTCACACTCTTAAATGAATAGCTTGGTATTCCTAACATTCTAAAGTGACTATGAATAGCGTAATATTCCTACACACTTAACTGACTCTGCATCAGTCTCACAAATGACAACTTGAAGAATTTATTCAACTTGAAGTTTATTCAGTTTAAAAAATATTTTTGTGTGGGTTCCATGGCCCCATCCCATTTGATGGTGAAAAGAAGTGGAGATAACAGACCCACCAGCCCCTAACAAGCATGTCGAAAAATGTGACTAATTAGGAATTTGCTGAGATTAAATGTGTAGGACCCATACTGCTACCTATATGAAAACCACAATACAATGTGCCAAATACCCTGTAAAGGATGAATGCAGAAGAATAAGAAAAACAAAACATTAAAAGCATGAATTGTTTTCTACCATCTTCCACATATTATTTTTCTGATCCGTGTCATTTGCAATTGGTTGTTAGGAATATTCCCAGCCTCCTGTTTTTTGAATAATCTCCGATACAAATATTCCAACATGTGATAATGGCACGATATCTAGCACTGATTCTTTGTTTTGCCCAGTTTCCTTGCACTCTAGTTTTCAACTCAGTTGTGATATAAAGTAATGTTAGTATCAACAATACTCTCAAACCCATCTGGGTTATAAATGGGTTAAAACAGAAAAGGAATTTTAGACACATGGGAAATTCATTTTGTACTATATGAAGTTAATTCTTCTGAGTGGCTGTTGGAAATGAAAAATAGTAGCCCAATGGTGCTGCCTGTGCACAATTTGGAGTTTAAAATCTACACAAAGTATTTAAGGATCCTTGCTGGTGCTACAGAGTTCATGCATTGCTCTGAGATTTTTGGACTCAGGCTTGAGTCAGAAGTAGAACGGAGGACTTATGGGTTACAGCTTGTACCATGACGTTGAACCGTTGTGTAAATCTAAATCTAAAAACTTGGCAATTTATTATTTCTAATGTGGTAAGACCAACCAACCAATATTGCTCTCAAACTATATAGCAATTTAAAGAGATGAAGCCTTATTTCACACTTCTAAAAATAGTCATATGACAAATCTCTGGGCCCATCAATGATGCAAACAGTAGAGAATGGACAGCGAGAAGCCGCAACAACAAAATTAAAATTGATTCAAATAACAACCAACTGCCGGCATCATCAGGCCTAACAAACTGCAACGGTTGGGACACAGAGAGAGAATGGCATATAAAATGAAGACAAAAAAACTGTGTAGACCATAAAGATGGTGGAGTGAGAATACACATGCAGAACTATAAACATCTGGAGGTGGGTGTTATCTGTAGCAATCAGCCACAAGAGCTCAGGACGCTGGAGAAGCTGTTGTTAACCTAATTTCTTATTGGGCTGATTTAATTTATATTAATTTCTTCAATCTGGGAGCTATTGTGGTGTAACAGCTAGATGCTCGTCTGTGGACTGAAAGCTCCTGGGTTCAGGTCCTGGCGGTAGCGGACATTTTTTTTTCTTTACAAAATAACCTTGGCTCCCAGTACAACCCAGCTTTTAGCCTGTACGAGGTGGGAGTCCTAGGAAATAAAGGTGGTTGGCGTGATGCTGACAATATCACCCACCAAATGTCAATTGGTCTATAAAATATAGATCTAGCCCCTTATGCCAATTACCCCCCCCCCCCCCCCTAATAAACTCACACACACACACACAAACTTGTGTTTTTAAAACAGGCTTAACTTTAAAAAAAAAAAAAATGTCAAGAGTCAACAACTGTTCTTAAAAAAAAAAAAAAAACGGCTTGCCTGAATAAGAAATTTTAGGTGATGTTGAGATGCTACTTCCTGACATCATTACTAAACTACCAAAATGAATTAACAATTATATCTGTGGTAAGGTCTAACTGATGAAAATGAGATATCTCAAGCGTTACAAGAGTGACTAGAATGGATAAAATCAGGAATAAAGTCATAGGAGAAAAGGTGGGCACAGAACCAATTATAAATTACATATAAAGAATGCAAATCAACCATTTAGAGAGAATGCCTTATGTTGTCATACCATATAAGATATACACCAAAAGAGAAGACTGACGTAGAGCTAGAGAAGTACTTTATTTTTAATTCACCCCAACAAAAAATTCTGGAGTTCCAGAGAAAGTTCAGTATTCCAGGGTTGTTATGGTTGTGGGTTAGGGTTGAGGTTATGGTTAGGATCTCTGTCAGCCTCGACCACTTCAGAGACACAGACTAACCCTAATTCCATAACACCCTTAAAATATTGGACTTTCCCGGGAATTCTGGGATTGCCTTTGTTTGGGTTGAATTAAATATAAAGAATAACAAGAGGTAGACCAAGAACAACATGGAAAGAGAGATTTTAGAGAAACTCTACAACAGGATGATATATGACTATGGTCGAGACGGCAAAAAGAGCTAGAAGCAGAACCTTATATCTCCTTCGACATCTGAAGCGGTAAAAGAAGAAGTCAAAAAGTAGTAGTAAGGAAAATATTATACACACTAAGTGGTAGTTAATTCGGCTCTCCTCCAAACTTCAACCCGATATTATGGCGGCAATAAAATATCCTTACGGAGCTCAGGCATATGTAAAATGCGGACTTTCTGCCAAGGAACAAATCACGGCAAAACGAGGATTACTTGACAATTTCAAGAGCCGCAACATTGCAGACGATAGCAGCAGACGATAATAGCGACCACTGACAATTTCGAGCGTTTCTGCAGACGATAATAGCATGCGCAAAACGTGATTAAACTCACAGCTGAGCGTATACCCCGCGACGCTATGCGTGGCGTGGATGGGTGGGGGAAGGGGGGGGCTAAACTAGGTGCCTGGGACTCACGAGCAAATTAATTGAAAGAAGTTGAAGGAGATGTGGCAGCTGCTGCTCGTGAGTCCCAGCCATCAAGTTTAGCCCCCATCCGCGCCGCATGTAGTGGCGCGGGGGATACGGTCGGCGGTGAGGCATCGTCACAGAAACAGGTCCGCAAGTAACATATCGCTGAGACCCTGTAAGAGCATTTGTTTTATTATATGGAGCCGGCATATTTTTAATAGAACTGAGCGTTTGAGCCCGTAAGGATATTTTATGGCCGCCATAATAATATAGGGTTGAAGTTCGGAGGAGAGCCGTTAATTCTGTTCTAGGAAGCTCCTAAAAAGTTCCCATTGGATTCCATAGCAACAGGATAAAGGATACGCCAATAGGTAACAGCCTGAATGCTTATAATGAGTGCCAGCTGGTATATTTTTAATTATTATTTTATCATTCGTTGGAAAACAACTGAAATGTTTATTCTATCTAGCTAACTTCGACACAGTGTCCGTAAACTCGGTGTCAAGTTATACTTTCCGCCATTTTGGATAGTGTTATGTCGCCAATGGCCGTCTTAACTTGCTAACTTCTACCTGTGCTCGTTTACACGACTTACCTCAGAGTCCCCATTATCAATAGTTTCCTTCCCCGTAGTCTTTAGTCCGCCTGTAGTTTTTGTCGCCGCCTGAAACAAATCAAACAAATAATAAGATGCTAACGCGACAATTTTTTATGCAAATTTTGCAGTCTTCATTTCACGATTCATTCAACTGAAACTTTAACCAAGTTAAACGCCAAAAATGTCTCAAATATGTGAGAAAGTACGTGTTAATAATAACTTTGTCTCTCAATTTTAAGCAGTTATATAAAGGGTAAGACACATAATAAAAGACAGTACCTTGTCTTTCTTAAGTTTATTGGGCATGTCGTGTCAGTACAGATCCCAGGAAGGTGATACTGTGTGTTATCGACGTACTAGATCTTTGCTATTCTAAACAACATCGACCATTGGCTAATGCATGTCACATGGCTTTTTAACTCCTCCGTTCCCAGTCGTTTGGGACTTTAATAATGCGTTGCTTGTCACCACCATCATCTTCACAACCCCACCACCAGCTTCCACTCTTACCATTAAGTGTCGTGTGGAGGAACTGTGTGTGTATCAACGCTCAACGGGTAGCACAAGCTTTGTAAATCATTTTACCTCCCACCCCTTCCTTTTTCTTAAGTATCTCCCTCCAGCAGGCGCGCTGCCACTAAGAAAACATTGGATTATCTCAGTCCCCAATCCCACCCTTCCCCGCCTTTCAATTTAAGGCAAACTATTGTGGAGGTGTGAAGTGCTCAGGTCTTTGTGTACCCCACCCAAACCAAATTTAAAAAAAGGGGGTTGGGGTGAGACTGAGTGCCTCACAACCCCGAACATTATGGTAAGAGGCTTGGATGCCCCCTCCCCGCCCCCTCCTCTGTCCCACCAAATAATTTTGTAAGGGACTAGGATACCGTGTATATAAATTATGTTACAGAATTTGTTTTGTACATTTCTTCTTCTTCTTCTTCTTCTTCTTCTTCTTCTTCTTCTTCTTCTTCTTCTTCTTCTTCTTCTTCTTCTTCTTCTTCTTCTTCTTCTTCTTCGCGTTCACCAGCTGCAAACTTTTGAGGAAAGTTGTAGTAGTTCATCCATTTCTGGACTGCAGTTCTGTTCCAGAATGTTGCGCGTGCATCCATTTTACAGATCTTACTCATTTGTATGCAGACTGCTGGTTCCTTGCCTATGGGGCAGATGCACTCCGACTTCAAAGGAAGTTCCCAATTAGTCGACTCTTACGACATGCTTGTGGGCAGGCAGTGGGTCTATTCTTGTGTTCCCTACAACAGGTCCCCAGAACCCACACGGGGGAACATTTAATATTGTATCAGTTATATTATTATTTTTATTAATGTGCTGAACAGCAAAATTAATGCAATAATATAACTGAAATAATGAATTGTACAAACACATGTTTTTAAAGAAAATTTCTATACATGGTTCTATGCATAATGGGGCGACAGAATTCTCACAGGGATTTTTATTGTGTCTATCCAGGGCGGTTCAAATTATAAATCCTTCCAACAAATTCATTCAGATGTTATTACTTTAAATCAAACTGACGGTACAGAAGAGTTAACACTTGCTCCATAATCACGCGATAGACTCCGCCAAAGTCTTGGTTTTCGAAACAACACGCTCAATCGAAACTGCATTGATCGCTTTGTTTTTAATCGTTAACCACGGGTAATGTTGTAGTACACTTCTTTTCTTGGGAAATAAAATTGTACAGGAGTGTCACAAACCGTCTTCATCAGATGGAGAATGCCTTGCACAAACCACCCACCAGTTGACAGCAAGGAGACAACTGAAAAGCATATTAGACATTTGTATTCGCACTGTCACAATTAACTGTGTGCGTTACAGATCTTGTTAAAGTTGCTTCTTCTTATTCGATCCTTCTGTCAGAAAACTTATATCAGGAGGCCGGTAGTCTTTATGAAAGCTATCGTGCAGTCCATATTTTCTCGTGTACCATATATTTTTTGTCTTTATTGTGGTTGGAAAAGACCAGATTGCGTCTCTGTTGTCAGCATACAGTTGGCAGTGTTGGAGCACATGCTCAGCATTTTCGGGTGCCAAGTTGCAGGGGCACGTCTCCGTGTTTCCTACAATGAAAATTTGTTGCGTCAAGTCTACAAACTGAGTGTCTTCTGGGTTGACAATTGTTTGTAGAACTGACATAACATCAGTCAAAAAGCTATATTTACTATGCTGTTGAATGTTGTCCATTCAGGGAAGAACATGCGACCAGAAGTGCATCTGCTTTTGATCTGTAACTGGAGGAATATGAGTCTGTTGGTATAGCTTGGCTGATTTTTAAACCATTTTGGCATTTTATGTATATTTCTTCTCCCCCGTCTCTTACTGCTGTCTTAGCTGAACCATTTGTATACATTCTAATCCAGCTCTGGTGTGGATAAAGTCTACTGTTCTCCCGTTCTGTAACTGACTTCATATCGGTGCTGCTCATGGATGTTTTGGAGGAGATCCCTGTTACAGTGGTTCTGACTGTTGGCAGGTTATCCCTAAGCCAAGTGGTTGTAAGGTTGTGGTGGAACATTTGGCACTATGGGAGGGAGTCTGAGGTCAGCGAGCTTGACATTTGCGTACTTGATGAAACAGGTTCTTTCTAGTCTAGCCCTCTGGGGTTTCTGCAGTCGGCTGTGTATGTGTTGTTCTTTCAAATGTTGGTATTTGGATAGAAAGGCAGAAGAAGAAGAACTGGATGTCATCTTTCCTTGAACCCCAAGGTATGGTTTCATTGGCTGCTTTTAATATAGCTTCTGTAAACTCTTTTACTGATTTAGCAACCTGACCTGATTTGCTGTTTACATTTATCGAGTATACACCAGCAAGGTTAGCAAAACTGTTCCAGTCAGTTTTTTTGGTAGTTCCATCGAGGGGAGGGGAAGGGAAAGGGGGGGGGGGATATCCCTAGCTTGAGAGCAGCTGTTAAAAATCTCCAAAAACGATACAGTTGTAATATGGGATTCTCATGCTGTATAAGGAGAGTTCTTTGCTTGGAGGGCAGTAGCAGTTGTATATTACAATTTCCTTGCCTGCAAAAAGTTAAACCTGACACCAATGATCTCAGACTCCTGCTCCGTGTTCACTGTAAGAGTTGCTGCTGGAATGCTGCTCTGTACTAGAAAAAGGACTTCCCTTTGGGGCCGTTTTCTCTGTCCTGTTAAAGTTGCGGAGTCTCTGGTATTTACACATGAAACGTTTACCAGGTTTGCCGAGGTCGGTGTGGCTAAGAAGTTTGAGACTGGGAATGTTTTAACTCGTTCAGTTCCAAGCATAGGAAGGTGGGGGCAAAGAACCGCATGGGGAAAAAACACTGAGTCCATTTAAATTTTCTGTTTTTTTAGGCTAGCTATTTTCATTACCTCGTTGATTTTCACGTTATTTCCCCCCAGAGCTATAGCTGTTTAGATCCACACAGGTTAAATAGTCACAGTACGGCACCGAAGGGGTAAAGTAATATTGAGTTACACAAGTTAAAACATCTGCTTGGGGAATAAAGCGTTTCTTCTTCTTCTTCAGCATTCTGAGCCCTTGATGTTCATTGCTGCAGATATCACCCGCCCCAATTGATCTCACTGGTTGGTCTTCTCTTTCCAGTTGGTGAAACCAAATGTTTGCAGGTCTGTCTGGACATTATCTCTCCATCGTCTTCTTGGTCTGCCTCATGGTCTACGACCATTCATCTCCCTTGTGTATACCGTTTTCATTTCTCTTTCATTTGGCATTCTCTCAATATACCCCAACCATTTGTCTATTAGCTCTCATGATACAATACCAGTGATCAATGGTTATTTAAACAGATTATGAATTTTGTTGTTGTTGTTTCTCACTCTCCATTACCCGCTGTTTGCATCTTTGATGGGTCCAAAGATTCGTCGTAAGACTCTTTTTTCGAAAACCTGTAATAAGGCTTCATCTCTTTAAGCTGTGCTCCAAGTTTCAGAGCCATATAAAACAATTGGTCTTATCAACATTTTGTACTTTTTGTTTTACCTTTGTGTTGCGAGACAGACATTTTGACTTTTGCAGATGTTGAAGCTCATAGTATACTTTATTTCCAGATTGTATTCTAGATAGTATTTATTCTCTTAGCATGTTGGAGCAGATGCAGTTTGCACCCCAGTACTTATATGTTTCCGTTCGTTTGATTTTCATATTATCGATTGTATTTGGCCAGAGTTTATATCCTTTCCCTGTCTAGTTATTGTCATGTATTTTGTCTTATCTCTACTGATACATAGTCCCGTTTTCTGAGCTGATTCTTTTAAGAGAGTCAGTATTTTAACAGTCTCTAGTTTATTTTCTCCAACGATATCGATGTCATCAGCATATCCAAGTATTCTTGTAGATTCTCCCACAGTACACTCTTGTGTCAAATTTCTTATAATTTTCTCCAGAGCCAAGTTGAAAAGAAGTGGGGACAGAGCATCACCTTGCTTTAAACAAGATGGTATTTAAGAGGGGTCTGACTTTATATTTTACTGTATTACAAGTGTCTTCCATACATAGTTTGGTCATGGTAATTAACTTCTTTGGTATTCTAAAGTCCTTCATAGCATTCCATAAACTGTTTCTGTGTACACTTTCAAACGCCTATTTAAGATCCACAAACACATTATGTACATCTCTTCTATATTCCCAATTGTGCTCGCCTTTATTTCCCAGGACTTTACCTGGTACCCGTTTATCATTTTATTCCGAGGGTCTCTAATAGCTCTGCTATGTACGTTAGGGGTCTGTTTCTAGGAAACACGTCATATTAAACTGAATCTCCAGCAAATTTGGAATTTGGGCTTATCCAGGAGTAATTCGTTTATTGTTTATCTGATTTATTCTCGTTATCAGTCGTAATTTTTTTTACGTCTTTGTGTATTTTTAGGTCTAATCTTAGACTTATTAGTATGAAATGTGGAAAAAAAAAAAAAAAAGAAGAGATAACCGATAAAAGATGGTCTTTCTTTCGAAGCACAAGAAAATCTATAGAAGTACTGACTGCAGAATAGAATGAAAACACAGAGGGAGAACAGAGAAAAAATACTAATACATTATTAGCATACATTAACTGGTGCCTAACTGAAATGGGGGTGGAAGGGGGGGGGGGGAGGGAGGGGTCTTTGTGAGAAGTGGGCAACCCGCTTGCCTCGTGCTATTAAGGTCATGGGTTCGTTTTACGGCTATTCTGTTCAGCTGAGGAATGCAACTTTTACAGAGATCCATGGGGATCGTCGTCGAAGCTACGGAGTTCTTGCTTTGTACAACGCTGTCTGCAGACAGGCAGCTAGTAGAGTGTGACTGAGCCACATGAG